CTGAACTGAAGTGAATTTTTTGTCTGTTTAACCTCTCAGAACTATTTGAAGTAAATGACATAATTTTATCTTTCTAGAAATGTTAGAATCAATGACTCTAAACAGTGAGGCCAATTATGGTCTCTCCGACAAAAGAAATTGAAAGCTCTTCCTTGTAACATGAAATCTGTTCATATTATAGAAGAAGCTCCCCGGTGTCTATGATTGCTCTTAGAATCCTCAAGTTCTTCCCAAAAAGATCCTAATATGAGAAAGGAGAGAAACTACCTAAGGAAATTTCAGGCCAATCCAACTATCTCTGAACCTGAAAACCTAGATACCCACTCAATATCCCAACCATATACTCCATGGGAACTTCATACTTAATGTGTCCAAAACTCAACTCACCATTCCCTCCTGTGTCCTTGGTCTCAATAAATGGCAATTTCACAATTTAACCTAGCTTGCTTCTTCCCACTCAATGTCTAATAATAGCAGGATTGATTTTTAAAAGATTCTAGTAACATGCTACAGCCTCTAACATGCACGGTACATGTGTAGTCTCAGTACTGCCTCAACTCCATGAAGGGATCATTATTTTACAAGCAAGGAAATGGATGCTATTAAACTGGAGACAGAGGTGGAATAGGAACCAATACCAGGATGACTTTAAAGTCCATTCCTCTGAGTAATAAGGTGCTCTCCATCACCAAATTCTCTGTTTTTCTTCCTCAGAATCTATTCTTGAACATCAGTGGCATCATTTGGTTTTCATGACCTCTGACTACCCCAGAAGCCTGTCCTACTCCATTATTTTTTCCCTTGTCCTTAATCCCCACAGCCAGCAGAGTGAACTTTTCAAACTGCAAAGGCGTTACCTCCCTACTTAAGTTTCTCCATATCCCCCACCAGCGTCTGATAAATGCTCACACTTTACAGCTCCATACAAGTCTTCTCATCATCTTATCTCTGCTCACCAGTCACACTCCACCATTGGGCCCACAAGTCTTTCAGTCCAGAGATCTACTTGCAATCTCCTGAGTCACCAGTGACAGGTCCTATGTCTTGGCCTTCTAACACGCCCTTCCACCTGAAATAGACTTTACCTTCCCTTTTTCCCTCTATATTTAATTGCCACAAGTCCTTCAGAAGTGATCCGATGTCTCTCTTCTCTAAGAAGTCTTTTTCCTCTGACACCTACTTCCTCAGAAAAATGACCTTGTAGAGAACTAATTCATTCTTTCATTTACCCATTCATTAGTTCCCATGCCCATAATGTTCTTGGCCCTGGGACTATAGTGATGGCTACACAGACATTTCCCCTATATTCCCTACATACATGGGGGCCACAGTCTTATGGGAGGGAGCCATCAATCTAATAATGACAAAACTAAAAGAGCAACTACACGGCGAGGTGTATACAAAGAAAGAGAAAGACAGAGTGTTATAAGATCATATGTAAATATTGGGAACAGGAGACTGACCTAGCTAGAGGACAGAAAAATGCCATATGAGTTGAAATATGAATCACAAGGGGAGACAGTTCACAGCTTCACAGGTAGAGAAAAGAGCATCTGCTGAAGCCATGGAGTGAGGAGCCCTTGCCAGGTTCTAGCAACTGAAAGGACAAGTGATGTACAGCTAGGTCTCTCACTTGTCTAGAAGCAAGCAGATGGCAAGACCTTGCTTGAGCTTATTTTATGTCCCCAGTACCCTGCACACGACTTTTAACAATGAGTGAATATATGCTGTATCTGAAAATGGAGGTGTTTCTAACAGAGACTGTAACATACAAATACCTTGGCCTGAAGAACATTTGTGGCCACATCTATCACCGCAAGGCCTGTGGCTCCAGCTGCTGCCGTCACTAAGACAGTTTCTCTGTGCCAGAGAAAGATGAATGTTACTACAGAAACCTTCAAAACTTATCCTATGATACAGATTTCAGGAACTCTGTAGAACAGGACCATTTTAAAACAGCAATGTTAGAGACCTTTCATTCAACCTTCACTTACATCTGTGTTCGACCCTGGAGTGGCAAGTTTACATATGCGATTTGTAGATTGGTGCCAATTTGCCGTAGTTTTAAAGACTTCCTAAGAAAGATTCCTATATCTCTCTGGGTAGACACTATCTTTCCTCTGTGGTAACCTCTCTTTTGAGCAACCACTCGATTTATGCTTCAGGAACTGTCTAAAATCATTCTCACAGTAAGCACTGCCCAACTTTAGAAGGTGATGGCCCATAATGGCCACAGCTGAACTCAACCCACCAGCTGGGAGCGATGCTGATGCTTGGCTCTCTGCAAAGATCAAGAGGTAGTTTCCTAGGTAAAGTGGGAAACCTCAGAACCTTTAAGTTTGAAACACCCTACTTGGCACGCAGTCCAAGCCTCACAGAGACAAATACCACAGGCCTCTGTTAAGTTCATAAATAAATCAAGTCTGGAATTCTAAGGTTTTCCCAGAATTGACCTTCAGGGTAACCAGGTTTGAGAGAGAGAGAGATCTTTCCAAATTTAAATTGGCTAAGTCCACAGTCTATTATTCCATCTCAGACTAGAGGAAGACCTCAGTCTCAAGTGGTTACCTCTCTCTGTCCTTTCCTCAAGCAAAATAAACAAGAGCTGAAGGGAAAGAACAGGAAGAGAATAGGAAGGAATAGGGAAAGAGCTTGTTGGGCACTTCTAATATCGGGAAAGGCATCCCTAGCCCTTGTCTACATGTCCTTACCCAGACTGGGTACGGGCTCGATGCTCCAGAGCCAAAATAGCAGTGCCGTAAGTTACAGGTAAGGTAGCAGCTTCTAGCAGGGGGAGATTCTCTGGAATCCGCCACACGGTCTATAAGGAAGAAACAGCAGTAGCTTAGGGATTAAACATATGTACCTTGTTGCAAAAGGCAGTCAGTAAATATGATTTGATTGGGTGAGTAATTGGAAATAGGAAACATATGCCTATAATCAAACCCAGGGAAAGTCAAGACCAAGCAAGCCTGGGAGAATTTAGGACTTGGGTACATCAGACTTCAAACCCTATAAGTGCTTCCCTGGCAAGCGCAAGGGTCTGAGTTCAATCCCTGGTTCCACCAAAAAACAAAAAACAAACAAACAAAAAAAAAAAACCCTAAGGTTGGCATCTGGCCCCAAAAGGAGCCAATTTATGGAGTAAAGGTGCCAGATCATTGTAACAGAACTACATAGAATATAAATTGTACCTCAATGAAGTTGGGGAGGGTCTGTGTACTGTCCACCACTAGAGGGAGCCATTCATGTCCTGCTCAATACAAAGCCACCCTGGCTGGCTCCATTCCCAGGGCTATCTCTTTCATAGGCTTTGTGTGGGGACAGCCACATTACATACAGCTCAATACCCCAAACCAGTTATTCTACCAAAACTACCTAACTATGGTCCAACTAGACAGCAAGCCAATTGCACAGGAACTCCAAAAACAAAATCCCCTTCTTCATTAAAGCACCCTACACAAACAAAGCACAGTGCAAGGGTTGTCACACCAATAAAGAGAAGGAAAAGGTTTAGGATTGTTTAAAAATGTGTTTGGCTGAGAAACAAGATATGACCAAACAAATGCAAAGAACGGAAACAGAAGGGAGAATTATAAATAAAGAAAAAGTAGAAATTAAAGAAAACAAAGGAAAAAAATATCTGCCAGCATTCATATTGAGGGGTGAGGGTACCTTCTGGTCAGTGATGCATTCTTCAGCCATAGCATTTATGTGACTCACACCAATAACTCGATCTCCCTAAAGGGAAATGCAGCAGTAAAGACATGTTCTAAAACATGGCTTTGCATCTACCTCTTCCTGAGTGAACCAAAAAATGAAAGAAAATATGCGTATCTGATCTTCTAAGACACTGTTAGCTTTAATATCTAGCGAATGTTTAGTAAATAAAACAGCAGTTCTCTCAGTACTACCACCAGGTTGCCAAGCCCAACTGAGCACATTTTAGACAACGCTGGAGTTGAATAAGGAAAAAGTTGATATGAATTAGAATTAATTTCTTTCACAAGAGACTCCAACTTGAGAATTCTCTCACCACTCAGTTACTATAGAGTAAGATGCTGCCTTTTAATTATAATAAAGAGTTTAATGAACCCAGAAACCTCCACCAAGATTGCCCTCCCCTGAATTTAGAATTAGTTTCTTTTGCTTCCATCTCAGTTTCTCTTCCATCTCAGTCTTCTGCCAAAGGACAAGAAAAGCAAGACCTTTTGGGTATAAATGAAGTTAGCATATTCCTCATAGTTACCCACATGTTCATCCCCTAGATTGCAACTAATTTACCTCTTTCACTGTGCTGACATCTGTGCCTGTCTCCAGTATGGTTCCAGAAAACTCCATTCCTAAAACATTATTCAAAGATTAGGTTATCTATAAAGCCTAACTATGGAGACAAGAAAACCCTGATCATTAGGCCATCCTAGCAGCTTTTTGAGAATAAGATTTAAGTACCATGTTTTTCACTTTGGCAGAGGAGTAGAGCACTGTACCCAAAACACATGGATGTGAACATAAGATTTCATGATCACAACCTGAAAAGCTATGGCAATCCCATTCTTAACCTTGACACAATGAGCACTCTGAGAACATGCAAAAAGCACAGAGACTCGCAGACACACTGGGACTTCTGACCCTGATTACGGGAGCCTTGGGCTTTTGCAGCATTCCAACCATGAGGGTTAATATATGGTATTTACGGGTTTCCACATATCTTCTGCTATACCACAAGGCCCTAAAGGTCATGAATGGTATTTATTCAGACAGTGCTTGGATCAGCTGGATGAATTAATGTTGTTTCCCTTTCTTCTTCCATCTCTAAATCTTCTGGTAGTGATCATTAAAGTCAGATCGTTAAAGTCAGGGAATAACTCAGTCATCTATGGCATCTTCCCCTGATCCAGCATTTCAGCAAACAAAGGCAGAAGGAAATGGTTCCAAAAACCCAAAACCAGAACACAGAAACTATTTTGTAATCACTGTATTCTTAATGATATATACCTATATAAGCCTGTAAACATGCTAAATAGTACTTATATCTCTTAAAATAAACTTCAACGATAAATATCAGTCATTTATACACTATTCATGATGTGAAAATAACCAAACTGGGCATAATGAAAATCAGACTTTCGATTACTAAGAAAGTATAAACTCTTTTTCTTCATTCTGATCCTTTGGCACTAGTTTTCTTTGACTTTGCTTGACAGACTAAGACATCTTAGCTGCAAACATATGTCTGAGATCCTGCAGTTAAAAAAAAAAAAAACCAAAGGCAGTTTCAGAAAAAGGGAATGACTAAGGTCAATAATGACTCTGATGAACAGAATTCTAGTGAGCATAATGAGATGAATATTCATTTGGTCATTTATTCATTTTTAACGTATTTTTAAGCATCTCCTGTGAGCCAGATATAAGGCTAAGCCGGGAGAGATGATGTGCAACAAGAGAGGCATAGAAGCTGCCCTCAGGGGTCTCACAAGTAATAATTCTAATTAATGATGGTGCTGACATAGCTAGAAAAACCTCACTGACCGCAGACAAACACCACAGAGTTGTATCTGGGAAGAAGCACCTAGTTCTGAAAAGTCCCAGAATCTTCTTTTCCAGAAGCATCACTCAGTCCACCCATACTCACCAGGTGTGAAGGGAAGGTGGGGCTTCTCCTGATACTGACCACTGCAGACCAATATATCAGCAAAGTTGACTCCACAGAAATGGACATCAACTCTGACCTGCAAAGGAAATAGAGCAGCAAACCAGAGACGTACACATCCTGAAACAAAGTTCATTACTCAATTATTCAAAAATATTTTGGGAATGAATGACAAGTATATGCCAGGTGCTTAACTAAGGGCAGGAATGAGTCACGAGGCAAAATAGACTAAGTTTTTGTCTTCACAGAGCTAGAAGTATAGTAGAAATGATAGACATTAACAAAATCATAATGAACCCATTTGTATTAAATTATAACTCAAACTGTTAAAGACAAGAATACATGGTGCTGAGAAAGCATATAATGGAAGGATTTGCCTTGTTGGGAAAGAAACAATAAGAAAATACTGGAGTTAATAACAGTTAAGAGTTAACTATTCAAAATAAAAGAGGAAATTAGCTCAGTAGTACAGCACTTGCCTAGTATGCATGAGAACTTGGATTTGATATCCAGTACTAAAGAAAAAAATTATAAAAAAAAAAGTTCTATACAGACAAAAGCAATGGCATGTGCAAATGCCCCGCAAAAGGGACAAAAGAAAAAACAATGAGTTTAAAGCATAAAAAGAAGAGAGAAAAAGAGATCACTCCATACCACAGTTTGTAGGTCTATACAGACCTTCAAACTAGGACAACAGAAATCCACTAAAGGGTTCTAAACAGAAGGGCAACATGATTTGTACTGTTTTTGGAATCTGGAAATCTGGAGTCCAGACTAGAGCTTCTGTGTCCATGGCACTGCCACAACTGGGGCAGAACTGTAATGGCACCACCAGTAGTCTCTCTACACTGAGCCATCCTGCACCCCCAGTATCAGCACCACCTGGTTAGATGTTAGAAATCCTAATTCCCTGGCCCCACCCCTGCTAAAGAGAATCAGAAACGAGGCAAGAAAAGCCCAGGAATCTGTTTAAGAAGCCCCAGTGATGCTGCTTCTTGCTGGAGAAGTACCCTAGAGAGGACACATTCCAAACAGGGGTTGTAGTCACAGGAGGAAGTAAAGGCTGAGACACCAAATCAATGCTATTTGTTTCAGTTTAGTACAGAGGTGGCCTTATTTGTAAGACCTATTTATCCACAAAATCCATTCATTCAATAATTTTTCTGAAGCACTTACCACATGCCAGGCACCACTGCAGACTAGGTCGAATTAATGGTGAATGGAAATAACATAATTGCAGCTCTCATGAGCTCATGCCTTAGAGCACAATGACTGGACAAATAACCACAATAAAGTCAGCCATCAGCCTTGGACACTAGCAACATGACACATGAGTTAGACAAACGCATGGCACACATGTGTCCTCAAGCCACTCTGCCTTGCTTCAAAGCATGGGCCAGGGAGATAGCTCAATGGTCTAAGTGCCTGCCTGGCAAGCGCAAGGACTCAGGTTTGATCCCTGGTACCGCATGCCCTGCTGCCTGTAATCCCAGTGCTGGGGAGGCTGAGACTGGAGGATCACTATGAGTCTGAGCTGCGAGCCAGACAGTGTACCAAATAAATAAGGATTTTTTTTTTTTTTTAATTAAGAATGACTGACAGGCCCTCTCAGCATGTGAAGCCGGAAAGCATAAAGACTGACACTGTTGTTTCTCCGACTCATCCGTTTTGGCCACAGGCTCAACATTAGCAACCTTAGGGCTGCACCTGCTTCTCCCGTCTCACAAGTGGTCCTCACTGCCTGCTTCACTCTGGGCAGGACCACATTCTCCACACCAGATGCCATTTATCACCTGAGTGGTCAACAGCAAGGCCAAGTGACTTCCTCTAACCCTATCCCAAATCCCTGCAGGACACCAGGGGAGGGCTACAGACCTATGTTCACAAGGAGACAGAGACAGGTGGGATGGGGGAGTTCAGGAAAGCTAGGGGGAGTCGGAAAGGCAGAAAATGTGACCCTGACATCCAAGAGGAATGAGGGGAAGGACAGAGGCCATTTATCTGTGATAAATCAGTAACTTGCAGCTGGTTATGCAAAGTCGTGTGCAAATAAATTCTCTGTTTCTAAGGCAACAGCTTTGGAGCCTTCAAAAAGAGGCCTACAAGAGGATTTGGAAGAACAATCTGGGCAATTCGTCCCTTTTGTAAACCTTGAAAGGCTTTGACCCTCCAGGCTCGAGCTCTGCTGCACTCTGGTCTCCGGGTCGCCCTCTAGCTTGGGAACTAAGGACAAAGGCGAGCAAGTCTGGGAGGGGTACATGGGTTTCTAGAGGTCCCAGGACGGACCAGCCACCCTACCTCGTGGGGCAGGACAGGGCGTGGGGCCAGCTCGCCCACGGCCAGGGGCTGCTTGAGCTCGCTGCACACCGCAGCGCGGTAGAGCCGGCCGGGGCCCTTCAAGGCTCCCCTGGAAAAGGCAAAGAGGACGATTTACCGGGCCCGCCTGCGGGGCACCCTGGGACGGCCCATGGGCTGCGGGGAGAGTCGGGGGTTGCACCTGCAGAGCCAAGACCGAAAGACGGGTCGCCCGCAAAGCAGCGCAGCCATGGCCTCCGAGGGAGTCGCAAAGGGGCACGGCCTGGGCGTGGCCGGAAGAGCCGGGCAGCGCCGGCCACGCCCCGGGACGGGAAGGGCAAACCGGATCCGCCCAGCTGGGCGGTACACACGCTGCGCCCCTGCTCCTGAGGACCAGAGCCTGGGGCACCCGAAGACTTGACCCGCAAAAGAGAAAATGAAACATCCAATGAAGGATTAGATTACCTGAGACAGGGGCTGGGGAGATGGCTCAGTGGAATAAGCACTTCCCTGGCAAGTGCAAGGGCCTGAGTTCAATCCCTGGTTCCTGAGATTAACCTTCGGTGACATCTTTGTAGAAAATTTGGGAGACTTAAAATCACATTTGGGGCAGGGGAGATAGCTCAGTAGAATAAGCGCTTGCTTGGCAAGCTCAAGAGCCTGAGTTCAA